AACATGCTGCACACAACAGTCTTGAATTCTTTGTTGACTTTTGGGCAGCTAGTGAGTGAAGAAGAGAGTCAAGATGAGAAAGGACTGTAGATCACGTTTGATCGTTATCAGGGCCCACACGGAAAGGGACAATTGTAAAGACAGAGACGCTACAGGAAAAATTTGGTACAGATGGAAACTTAGGCAGGCGTGATCAAGTCAGCATCAAAGTTGCTGGCTTAGGTGGAAATCTTGGACAGGGCATCGCGTTTCTTCTGTCTGTAGAAGATACACTACTGTATAGTTTCAGATAACTATAGGTGACTGTGGCGCCATGACAAGAAAAATGGTGCTGTCTTATAGGGATGTTATGAGACTGAGCAAGATGCAGAGGATGGGTTCACGCCCTGAGAGCCAAGCTCGGTTCTATGCTGTTCGTTTCTCGCCCAGTAGGGGGCGCTCAGCGAGCCACGAGGCACAGCTCATAGGTCGGCGGGATGTTGCCAAAGCCAGAGAGCTTGGGAGTGACGTCGATGTCGGCAGGCGGCACCAGGGGGCGTAGAGAGAAGTTCTGAAGGACTGAGGTGAGGTAAAGGAAGAGTTCCATGCGCGCCAAGGCCTCTCCCAGACACACACGCTTTCCTGCGGGCAGAAGAAAGGGCAGGAGGGAAGGTCACATCTGCACAGGGGACAGAGGTGTCTGGAGCTTGTAGATTGACCACCCACGGAGCCTCAGTAGCATCTCGGGGTCGTGATTGTACCCACTGTATAAAGATTTGTTGTAAATGCTATTCAGAGTCCTATATTTAGGACTCATTAGGTCCTGCACTTGTAGGGACCCAGCACGTGGCAGCTACTTCTCTGATGGCTAGGCCTCCCCCTATTCCCAGATTGAATGGTTTTAAAGGATCATTGTGTTCATCCCAGTTCCTCAAAGGTTTATCAAATGTCTATCAGGTGTCAGACTCTGGTGAGGAAAAAAGTGAGAGTTCTCACTTCAGTAATGCTTACTCCCGGTAATGCCCAGTCTGATTGTTGGGAGAGGGTAATCTCCATTTCACAGATGGGGAGCTGAAGTAACTCGCCTGAGGTGCCACAGTTTGTTCGTGGTGGAGTGAAGTCCACTTTCCCAGCCACTGACCTGACTCTAGGTCCTAGCTGACACGCTTAAAATAACTTTGCACAAAAATTTTATGCTTCAGATGGGCAAGCCACTGTCTATTGGGTGAATCTGCCTTACTGTCTGTGTTTATATGGCCTACAAAGTAGGGATGCTTCTTGCATTTTACAATGGTTAAGAAAAAAACAACAAAGCAAAATAATATTTTGTGATTTGTGTAATTTCAAGTTTTGGTGCTGGTTCACATGCATGTTCATTCAAAAGTTGTCTATGGTTGCTTGCATAGTAAAATGGCAAGTGGACCATCTAGCTAGAAAAATGAAAATATTTTTTATTTCATCCTTAACAGAAAGTTTTCTGGCCCCCTGTTTAGTGCTACTCCAAAACTAACTTTTTTCTAACTATCACCGTCAATGTTTTTAATATTCCCTGATTCTGGGATTCTAAAATTTTGTAGTCCTATGATAGAATCTTCAACTTCCCATTTGACGTGAACTTCAAATACAGAGCAATGGCTGGAGGGTAGACCCAGCACACACCTGGTGTCGGGGGAGTTAGACCATGGAAACCTACCAGAGGAAAAAGCCACAAAGGCTTCATTCTTCTTGAAACAGCCCTGCTCATCCAGGAAGTGTTGGGGATAGAAGGCATCTGGGTAGCGGAAGTATTTGGGGTCTTTGAGGACTGAGCCAAGCAGCGGAAATACATCTGTGCCCTGGGGTGAAAAATGGGGAAATTAAGAGAAATCAGTGTTGGATTATGGGGCCAGGGAGCCAGGAGGAAGGAGGGGTATAGAGGAGGGTGAAGAGGTGGCAATGAAGCTGAAACCACACCTTGGGCAGAAGGTAGCCTCGGAAGTGGGTGTCTCGGATGACGCTGTGGGGGACACCCATGGGTACAAAGTCAAGCAGTCTCTGTATCTCATGGATTACAGCATC